TATTAAGCACTTTAGATAACCATCTCATGTAAGCCTTTTAAGATTGGCACTATTACTATTAGCACTTTACAGGTGAGGAAACAGACGCTCAGAGAGGTGGCATCACTTGCTCAAGGCCTCACAGTCCATACAAGGCAGTCTGAGTTCAGGGCTGTCCTTTTAATCACTATGCTGTATTCGGCCCAGGTTATACAGCCTGTTCCTCACGAGGATCTGGAATAGCGTGGGGCCTGCCCAGAAACTGTGCAATGAACCAGGTGATTTCTCATGGTCTCCTGTTACCTTAAAATGATGTGCATTCAGCTCTAAATGAGGCAAGACCCCCAGCGTCCCTGTGCCACCGGCTGAAGATGTGAGATGAATTCATCACACAGCAGAGGGCTCAGTCACCTGTCCCTCCACTTGGGGCATGCTATGGGCTGAACTGTGTCCCCCCCCAAATTCATATGTTAAAACCCTAGCGCCTCTGAATGCTACTAATTAGAGAAAGGGTCTTTAAAGGGGTGATTAAGTTAAAGTGAGGTCGTTAAGGTGGGTCCTAATCCCATCAGACTGGTGCTCTTATAAGAAAAGGAATTTTGGACACAGGGCACATGGAAATGGAGACACGGGGGGGGGGGGCACATAGGCATAGAGGAAAGACCACATGAGGACACAGCAAGAATGCAAACATCTACAAGCCAAGGAGAGAGGCTTCAGAAATAAAACCAAACCTCCCCAGACTTCGATCTTGCACTTTTAGCCTCCAGAAGCGTGAGAATGTCAATTTCTGTTGTGTAAGCTTGTGGTACTTGGCTATGGCAGCCAAGCTAAGACAAAGGGGGCTGAGACGAGAACTGACATGTGGGCTAGGTGCTTTACGTCTGTTTTATCAGCAGCACGTAGCAGGAGATAAGACCGGAGTTTGAATCCCAAGCTCTGTTCTGTATAAGGTGAATGACCTTGGGCAAAGGACTCTGAGCCTCCCATTCCTCTTCTCTCAGGAGAGAATGATATCCACATTACAGGATGCTTGTGAGAGTCACGGACAGTATATGTAAAGCACTTGAAACACTGTTTGGCCTATTTTGGGTGTTCAGTCAATGGCAGTAATAACCACTATGATTTCAGGGAGTTGACACCTAAAAGGCAGTTAATTATTCATGTTTTCTAATGAGAAAACTGAGGCTCAGAGATGTTAAGCGACTTGCTCAAGGTCACACAGCTACAAAGTGACAGCCATGGACCCTTACCCAGGGAACCTAGAATCAAGAACAGCAGAGCCAGGGGCATCATCCTGCCTCACAGTGGAGAACCAGGGGCCCAGAGAGGCTCCGTTCCTTTCCCGCAGACTCACAGCAGGGCAGTGGGTGACATGGGACTGGAACCTGCTGCCACTCAAGGCCCTAATCCTGTGCTCTTGCCACTGCTCTGTGTTCCCTCAAATGGAGAGACAGGGCCTCCCTGCCCGCTTCTCCTCCTCTGGGCGCCCCATCCCACCAATTGTAAACACTTTGTGAGACATGAGTAAACAGCCCTGGACTTACTCGGGAAATCCTCTTGTGGGATCTTCCGATACTTTGGAGGGCGTCCAATCCTGGAGAGAGAGGGACCAGGTCCATGGCAGGGAATCAGAGCCTGGCCTGGCCCGAGAGGACACGAAGCCCTGCACCCTTGCCCTCCGCACCGGCCATGATGACGCGACTTCTTCCTTAGGGAGAAGCCCGAGAGGTTCCTCTTGCGGGCCGAGGCCTCTGTGTCGGACAGCTCCGCCTTCAGCCGGCTCTGGTTCCTCTCAGCCAGTGGGCAGCCCGAGAGGCAATGGTGGGCTGTGAACTTGCCTGTGACGTGGCCTGAGCCGTCACAGCCAGGAGTGGGGCATTTCCTGGGGAAGAAGAAGGCTCAAGCTGGGTTGAATCCACTTTCCAAACGGGGCCCCATTTGGAGAGGGTCTCGGTGCACCCTGATTGGCCACACACAGGTGGTGTGAAACAGGCCCTCTCTGAACAATGCGGAGGGTCTCTTAGCAGGAGCCCCTTTCCTCACCGGTGGTGGAAGCTGTACTTGGAGGTCCTAGTGTGGGGCAGGCTCCGATAGCTGAGAGGGGGACAGCCCCCAGGGGAGGCAGAGCTGGTCTCTCTGGGTCCTGGAGGAGCAGGAAGAAAAGGGTCAGCACAGGGTCCTGGGGGTGAGGGTGGGGCTGGGGGGATCTGACAGCATGGAAGGAGCAGTTTCCACGGGGAAGGTCGGCACTAGGATCCAGTTCCCCAGGTACAGCGGCCCTGAGCTGGGCTGTGACATATTTCCCGCTACTGGATCTACCCTCTTTAAGGAACGCGGGACACTTGGTGAAGCCTGCAGGCCACGCCCTCTGTTTCCTCCGGGAGATCAACTCAGAGCCGGTGTGGGCACAGCGATGCCTTAGCAGCCACATCAGGCAGGTTCATGTTATTCTGTTTGTTTCCCTGTTTAATCCCCCAGACTTAGGTAACTTTTTTTTAGGCCATGCCCATGCTTGGAGAACAACCGAGAAGGATCACCACCTGATGTGGGACACATGTGGCGGCTGCAGAGAAATAAGGGCGGGGAATGCTGGGGGTGAGACCTGGGGCCGAGCAGTCCAATGACCTGACCTCTAACCCCTGCGTGCAGGGACCAAGATTCTACTTAACAGAGCCAGCATTTCCTTAGCTAATGCCACGCATGCTCTGTGTGGCTCTGGTGGATGCTGAGGGAACTCCCTGGTGTGTCACTACCTTCTAAGCATATGTTCCCAAGGGAGTTTCCTCTTCACAGCTCAAAACCCCAAACCCAACAACTGGGGAAGCCAGAAGCACTGCTTAGTGTAGCAGGGACCTCTGGGGTGGGGAGGATGGGGGATCCCAGAGCCCACGGTGGCCATCAGAGTCCTGTGTCAGACCTGGGCATGCTATGGAAGGGGGGTGTCAGAGCCGGGGGGCGGGCAGGGCTGGACTTCAAAAAGAAAGGGTCAGAGTGCCCTAGGGGTACACACGGAGAGGAGGCTGCAGGGGGTGCCCCGTCTTGGAGCACCAGCCGGCGGGATGGATGTCTGGGTGGTCAGCATCGATCCAGAAGTCATAGGCATGACTCCAGCCGTCGAAGTGGAGCTGGGGAGGAAAGGCCCTTGGTGGTCAGGCATTTCTCGTGGAGCCCAGCTCAGCCGGAAGGTCCTCCAGGCTCCAGGAGGCTCTCCCCATCCCTGGGGCCTCTCAGAAGCAAGATTCTGGATTGGAAGAACCAAGGCGCCAACCCCACAATAATCCATCTCGGCCGCCACATTTTCCAAGGGCTTCACTCATTAAGCTACTGGCATCTCCCACCAATGCTTGGGTAGGATGAGGGTTATTAGGCCCGTTTTGTAGATGAGAAGGTTAAGGCTCAGAGAGGGGGAAATGACTTGCCTAAGCCCACAAAGTTAAGTCACATATAAGGCTAGAATGAGACCCAAGATTTTCAGCCTCAGGTTCAGAGCTCTCTTCCCCACAGCGTGCAGCCTGCCTTATGTCTGGCTCATGCCATACCCTTGGCCTCTAGCCAGCCTATAGAATTCCTGTCCAATCGGCCTGTCGATTCCCCCCGCCCGGGGTCCCGAGCCACCTTTATCCGATGGTCCTCCACGTCCTCTATGCTGGCCACACGAATCAGGGCTGGGTTCCTGCGGTCCACAGCCTCCAGTTTCATGTTGACCAGAAAGCTGTGTGGGGGTCGCTGCAGAGGGACAGAGGCCTTCAGGTCATGGCCCAGCTCAGCAGCACTGCGGCCCCAAGAAGGGAATCCAAGGGCTGTGCCTGGGAAGTTGGGGTCTGCCAAAAAGAAAGGCCAGGGCCCCATCCCGGCTGGGCGAGGACTCCATGCCTTCCTGAACTCAGCTCTGGGGGTAGGGAGAGCCGACTCACCACCTTGAAGGCCCAGGTGGGTACAGCAGAGGCCCCGGTCTCTTCCAGATATTTCTCCCAACAGAAGCTATCTGGGTCTGGGTAGTCTGGAGGAGAGGATGAGAACCACGTCTAGGTACCCAGGAATACTGGGGGAGCTCTCTGTCCCCAAGCAGGACCAGGAGCATGGAAGAGACAGAGGCCGTGGAGGACAATGTCCCCCTGCATCACCACAGCCAGCTCCTCACAGGGAGTTCCCGAGGCAGAGGGGTGCTAGTCAGAAGCAAGCACGTCACCACCTCACAGTTCACAGGGTTGTCTGGGAACGCTGGTTCCCATCCTGCTCTTCAGTCCTGTTGCTCCAGGTCCATCCCGGCCCCATCTGAGCCTCTATTGTACATGGACCAGCGTAACAGTCTAAGAGGAAAGGGGATACTTCCTTCCCTCTGGACTCTTGCACCCTTGCTTGGCGGGGAGTGGGGGTCATCTAACTTTCTTCCCTTCAATCTCTACACAGTCAGGGTTTGATAAGACTCTCCTAAAATCAAAGAGCTCTCAGCTCCCAGACAGATAAAAGGATCAGGGAGAGGAGTGTGGAGCCAGGCCTGGGACAGGGCATTTGCTGAGGCTGCAGTCACCTTGTGGAGGGGTGAGGGGCTTCCCTTGCTTCTGGCACCAGCCCACCGGGTGGATGTAGGGACTGCTGGGATCACACCTGAAACCCAAGAATAGTTCACTGTCCCCAGTGAAACGTGGAGGCCCTGAGTCTGCCGTCCTAGGACAACATGGTATCAGGGTCGACACTCATTCTACGTCTTAGTGAAAGTTGGACGGCTGATGAGAAAGTCAGAAAACTGCACCATTAAGTAAAAGCTCTAACAGCACCATCATAGTTAAGGGAAAACCATGAATCACAGGGGTGTGCTCATCTGCACCTT